ATATTTTTAAATATGATATAATAATTAATTCATTCATTAATTGGTTGTAATATAAATATGACAAAAATTTTAAAAAATAAATATATTAACTATAATGCAACATTTACTAAATAAATATTTATTCCAAATAAAGAGTTAACTTTAATAAATAAATTATTTTATTTTCACTACATAATAAATATTTGAAACTTTAGTTTTATTGAAAAACTTACCATAACAGAAGTGCAAAATGCCTCATTCATCAACAGAGTCTAAAAAAATAATCAAAGAAGGTGTTTATGATTGCTGAAAAAAATAATAAAGCCTTTAAGTTGTTTAAAGAAGATAAATTTTTATTCAAAAATAAATTATATATTTTTCAAAATGCTGACTGAAAAAAATAAAGATTAATAAAGATATATTTATCATAAATAATTTTAATTTATATTAATATAATATTTGTTAATTTCAGAAATTTTGACACAGTGTCACTTACTGCGAATAATATGACAAAATTCTCTACCATTTTTATTTTTACAAAATTGCAATAAATTATTTTATCAGTACTTTTTAAGCTTTAAATTTAATTTTCCCCCTGAAATTAGGAGAATGAAAAATGTAGATGTATTGTATTAATTTAATTTATTATTAAATAAACATGCCAGGCTACAATGCAGGCGCGTAACAGACAAATTTTCATAACGAACAAATTTGCGCTCATCCCCAACATTCAACAAATCCTCGAACAAGAAGCTACTCTCCCAACTCCCTCCGCCTCCTCTTCTCTCGCTCCTTCTAAATTATCTGATACCATAAACACTAAACACAAACATGAACCCTACTTTTTTATCCAGTTTGAAATTGAATACTCTATAAACCTCTTCGTCTTTGTTCCATCTTTCGTTGTTTATGGCGTCTGTCCTTGAAATCGATCATTACCATTTGATACCGCTCTCGCTAAATTCTCTTTGTGCTTTCCCTTTTCGTCCTCTATCAAAGAAAACGCTGGTTCTCTCACGTCGTTGCTCCAAACTCAATCTAGGGATTGTTCTCGATGAATCCAAAGTTTTCTTTCCCGTACACCGCACATGCATTTCAGTGAATCGGCGGGTGATAACAGCTGTCGCAAGAGCTGAACAGGACTGGCTTGGAAACGGAAATGTGAAAGAGGTAATTATCCTATTTCATTTATGTTATTGTATTTATGCCTGCAAGTGCTTCCGATGTGTGTTAATGTTTTTCTTGGAAGAAAAAGGCGCTCTTATAAAATGTTGTCAAAATTCTGTTTGCTGAACAAGGACTATAGAATCGCAGATAAACAGTGGCTTTTGTTAGTTAGAGGCTTATTTCAGAGAATGGCTTCTATCTTTGGTTATAGGGATATTCTCATTTGAGGTCGTGTTGAAAGGTAGTTCAAAGCTGTACCCTTCTTAATGAAAGTTTTCGTCATTTGGCGGGGGAAGGACGCTTGGTTAGATTTTGTAGCATAATTTAATTATAGCCATAAACTAAGCCGTGAGAACCTTCTTGGCTTTGATAATCTGGAGCATATTGGGCAATATTGTTGATAATGTTGAATGCATTTGGTGGTGAGGAACCACACGCTGAGAAGTAAAGAAACTGCGTTTCTTAGTTACTAGCGGTTGATCATTCTTAGTATCGGGACAAAACTAGGAAATAGAAAATGTACATACGAATATTGAAATTGTACAATATATGTCAATGTTAAGCTGCTTTCAAAAAATATATATGTTAATGCTAATTGCCAGTGATGCATCAAAATTTCTTTTTGCAGTGAT